AAGGATAATTCTCTTCGGTTTTCCATCAGAAACAACATTCCAAGAAGACGGTACACCTTTGAAACAGCGTTTTGCTCCAGACAGCGCCGACCAACCAATACGATGAAGAAAGAGTATCTACGTTGGTGTTCCCGCGGGTAAGTTCTTCCGTTTTGACACACATGTTTCTAAACTTGCAATGAGATCATTTAGGGTTTATACAAAGATGTCTGTGTGCATGATGGGCATGAATGAATTTATATGCAGGGGATTCGTTGGTAGAAGTCACACAACCACGACTCCTAATCCTAAATGGAAAAATCTGGCTATCTAAAAGGTTTGGAAGCAATCAGAGGATAAGCGGGACAGAGCAGAAGAATGGAGAAAGTTGCATGTAGAGGCTAAGAGGAGGAAAGAGGAAGCTGAAAGTTCTTCAAGGTAAAACAGTATTCTGGAATGAGTGTATTTTCATATTGATAGTGAAAAAAACAAAAAACTGAATGCATGATGTTTGTTGTTTTTTTGATTAAGCAGCAGGAGTTGCATAAATTTTACACGTGCTGAACTTATGGACAAATACTATGAGTATGTCGAAAGAGAGGAATCGTACGAACTGAGAACAGGAAAGGTGAGAAGCTGTCTATCAGTGGAAAAGTACTTTGAAATAGCCAGAGAGGAGGGATGGCTTGTTGACAGGCAAGGGCTTTTAGGTTACATATATACATTTGAATATTTGACTTTGCAAATTAGTAGTTTAAATAATCGTGTTTGTTAATGCAGCGAGGAGAACAACACTACTGATGCTGCTGATGTTGTACAACCTCCTGCCATGCAAGAGAAACTTGTTTGCAGATGGCAGAAAGTTGTTAAGAGCAACAGCCAGATAAAAAATCAAGTTCTTGTAAGCTCTTGATCTGTTTGCTGTTACAGTTCGTAAGGATGCATAACATTGAATGAATAGACATAGCTAATAAAGTTTTAATGTTGCAGCACTTTCCAGCAGCAGTCATCAAGGAAATCTTCATGGAACCAAGATCATATATTGATCTTCATGACACAGACTCGGGTATTACGTACCAATGTGTTTTCAAATCCAGGGAGAACATGACCGAGAAGTTTCTGTCAAGGGGCTGGTTTAAATTTGCAAAGGACAAAGAGCTGTCGAAAGGTGACGTTCTCTTATTCAGTGTAGAGCATCCTCCTGTGGAACGTATATTGGTCAAAGTTGAGAGAGGGCAGCATTGAAAGGAGTTGTTGATTGGATTACATGGGAAGCATCATGGCAAAAAGGAGGGATTATTTTTGTATGGGCGGAAATGCATAACTATTTGTTTTGAAAATCTATTTGATGCCCATTTGTCTTTGTTATTAGTTTTGTTATTTGATATTGTTGGGCTATGGCTCAATGTACAATCTGCTTATGATTTGTTAAATGGGATGATACGAAATTAGTTCCATATCTTGCGTTGATGAGATAATTGCATATCGTTTCCGGTATTATCCGGTAACAATTTATATTAATCAAGTGTCATGGATTTCTGCTATGCATAATTTGTTATTCATGTATTAGTTTTTTAGATTAATGTACAGTATGCTGATATACTACTGTGTATTATGCATAAAGTATGCAAAACAATATGGATTGTCCAGCATCAAGACATAAAGAGAAACATTTTTTTCCTTTCAAAGACACTAAGTTAACAACTCAACAGATTAGATGACAGTGTAATTTAAAGCGACACTAAATACAACATTAAAGTTATATCAAAGTTCAATTCATAACAAATATACATCCGTCATCAAAAAGAATTTTGAAATGGCAAATTGTGGGATTATATTTTAATGGTTTAGAATTACGGAGAAAAAATATGTAACAATTGTGTAAGGTAAAACAAATCATTAGGTGTGATAATATTTTTCAAAGTTTTCCAAACATGTAAATGAAAAAAGAAAAGGATGTGGTGATAAGGTAACTCCAAATACTCCATCATTAGGTGAGATAATGTTTTTCAAAGGTTTCCAAATATGTAAATGAAAAAAGAAAAGGATGTTGTGTGGGGTAACCAAAAACACTCCGTTGCATACACAGTTGGCCACTGATTTTCCAAAAGAAAACAGAATAAATTTATTATATTAAACAAAATAAGGAATTACCAACATCATATTGCTTTTTGCAGTGTAAATTATACATAGTTTTTTGCAGCTTAAATGACTAAAATCATATCATTCTTTCATATACAATATCAAAAGGATAAAAAAAATCAAGAATGACAAATCAAATCCTCATAAACCAGAATAAACAAAATGTAAACCAGAAATATTTCATTACATCAATCAAAATAAGGTGTGCAATATTGTCCAAAACAGCTTAAAGTAAAAATAAATCGTCGACGATAATTGACTGCATCATTTCTCCAGCTTGATGTCCCTTATTATCTTGGTGGACGATAGTTGGGCACTGTCGAGTTCTTCAACTGTCTCAGGAATAGATCTTTTTTACGGTGTAAGTGCAGAGTTGGCAACTGAAGGGTCATAATCTGCAGTGATTGATAACGGATCCTGCCATTAAAGAGTCATTACAAAATCAGTAGCATAAAAAAGGAAGTAAGACATTGTTTAATAGGATAATTTGTTAATGTTGAAAGCTAAAAAAAGACGCACTGAAACTGTTTGTGGATCATCATGAGACTATTTTTCCAAGGTGGTGATGGTCGGAGTACACTGCAAGTTAAAAAACGCAAGAAATAAACGTTAGACAATTGTTCAAAATGTGATGGCAAGAGTAATATGTCGTTCCTATTTAAAACATACCGATGATGTATGCATATCATCCCGAGTGTCATCTGTTGAGACGACAATCTTTGAAGTGTGCTGCAAGTTTTAAACAATTGTTAAAAAAATCCAATGCACATGATACTGATTTTAACAACAGTAAAACATGAGTACAACAGTACCTCTTCACATTTAAACCTCTCCTTTATTTTGGTACGTAGCACTTCATCTGCCTTAAATCCGATTACAGAAAGACTGGCCTTGTTTGGTTGAAACACTGCTCTTATAGCCAACTCCTTCTTCAGCATCACATCAAGTTCATAAGGGAATTCAAGGGGATCAAAATCTCCAGTCTAAATGATTAAAACAATATATGTTATTTATGTGGTAATTATCTAACTTACATATTAGCCAAATGGAAAATATCTCCATCAAATCCAACTTCATCTGAAGGGCGGACTTCCCAATCAACTTTACACAATCTACATCCCAAAATACGAACTTGTATTTTAACTTTCCATCGGAGGTAAGCACTTCAAGCTTAAATCTGTACCATGCGTGATCAAAATAAGAAATTGTCAATAATAAAACGTTTGGTTATATGATGATAATCATTGATATGCAATACTTAGAAGTTACCTTGGGACTGGCTCAGAACTGATGTGTTTGGAATAACACATGAATTTTCCATCCTTCAAAGTCACACTTTTGGTACATTCACTACATCCATCATAATACCATCCTGACTGCCCACATTCAAACTTCTCCAGAGTCGCAACAGTCACACATGTAGTTTCCTGAAACAGAAAGATGGGATGATGTCTCAAAAAATGGATTAGAACCCAGTCTGTGTAATTCCTCAATCTAAGACAGTCATGTATTAAAGAGCAACTTACAGTCTGCAGATATGCAATATCAGATAGACTCAACACTTCAGCTTTCCATACAAATTTGTCCAAATCAGAAAAAACAGAGGTATTTGTGGTTTCCATTTGCATGCTCGAGGATGAGAGCGTCGGCAGATCATCTTTAAGTCTGATGTACATAGATCAAAATGAAAACAGGTTGTTAGTAATCATAGGTTGCTAATTCATAACTTCATAATAAAATCACTTACTTCTCTTTAAGGTTTTTAACCTCCTCAATAGACAAATCATTGATGAGCAGTTTTGTGCCGTTCCAAGCATTTGATACATTTAAAGGATAATTTCCTGAAAATTGAGATATTTATAAATGACAACACTTAAAGTTGGATATAATAATTGGATATAATAAGAAATAGTCACATAGCATACCTTGAGGTTCCTTGATCCTTGCATTCATAAGTAGGAGAACAATACTACCATCAGCCTTATGAGTCGTATAATACTCATTCAGTTGCACATCTAATTTACCCCAAAGAGTACATTGCACATGATGTTTGCTGATTGACAGGAATTACAAAACAAACAACATGAACATGTTAGACTTTTATATTTATCAGCATCAATGTTAACAAACAAAATGAAACACCTACCTCAGATCAGTTAATGAAAACACAACCTTGCTTTTGTTGTTATCAGGAATTATCTGGGCTTGGGATATTTCAGTAACCCCACCAATTATATCTGCACAAAAGTTCACCACAGACAGTTATGTATAACGGAGAAGTCACAATACAATACGTTCTATTATAACAGTAAAAATGTAACTCACCATATAACAAATTCGTTATGTATTTACCCTCAATAATAGCATTTATTCCAATTAACTTGAGGTGGTTCAGAGGTATGTCAGCAAGTTGGACCTTTTTGACGGAAGTTGAACCACAGAAAATCAATTTGAACTTATGATCAGTGGATTTGAAGGAGAAATCATTGCTGGAAACTTTGAAATTCTGCATTATGTAGGAACAACCAAGTTCAAGCTGTGTTTTGAATTTTGATACCAAATAAGATGGCACAATGGCTTGAATCAAATCCAACTGTGAAAATACAAACATCTTGAAATCAGTATCATATACCAGTACTGTTACAACAAAATCAGAATGGCAAAGCAGAAACGTTTAGATTGTATTATACCTTTGAATCAAACAGAATAAGCTCTAAGTGCTCTCTATTCTGAGAACTGGTAACAGACCACAGATGCTTACATCTAACAGCAACCTTCCACAAATCCTTCGAATCGTCAATGCTACTGATATACTCGATTGGGCGCGCCATCGTCATGCAGCGATTCGTAACAGCACAGAGAGCCTTGCGTGAATGAAAATGAAAGGGACGTCTGTAGCAATGGCTTGCGTGAATGAAAACGACTGGAAGGTGTTAAGCAATGGAGGTTATACATAAGTACACATTGGGGAAGGATTGAAGGAAGAGTGAAAAACTTTTGGTGTTCCATTTGAATTTGAATTCTGATTAAGAGAGGCATAATGGTTTGGCATGGGGAAGAGGAAGAGAGGCACAATGAATGGCAAGGAATAATGAATTGGTATTCCCCATGGTTGGGTTTCTCACGCTGCCTGCACAATAAATTGAATTGGTTCTTTATTTTTAAAAACAGTATAATATGTGGGATTTATTTGAAAAAAAAATTTGAAAATGTGGTGAAAAATTGTGGGAGTGTCACATCAGATTCAAATCAATGTGGTGCAAGATATTTTGGAGTTTCCAATTTTATCCCAATACAATAGACCAACAATGGATTTTTTCAGCTGTGGTGTTGTGGTAATTTCCAGGGACTATCATTTTTATAGATTTATAATAGATATAATAGATTTGACAATTAATGGTGCTGACATGTCGTGTAAAGATTTTTCCATACCTTTTTAACTTATTTTAAATCACTTTTTAATGACACCAATTTATCATTGTTGTAGGTCCATTTTTAATCTCATTTTGATATTGAAGCGTTTAGTTCTCACTCTACACTGTATCCATATTACTGCACACAACTTTCCAGGTTGCTACTCATTAACTCCAACGTTTCCTATTCACTTTTATTTTCTTCTATAAAACAAAATCAAATACTTGGAGAATGAAGAGTCACACAACTTCCCATCAAAAACCATGAGTCTAACTCGCAAAACCAAATTCCCTCTACCATCATTGTAATTCCTAAGAACCAATGCATCAAGTAGAACAGAAAATTGAAATCAATCCCCAGGTTTGTTCTCTGCAAGAAAAACAACAACAACACCATTGAAACAACTCAAGAACCTTCTTCCCCTAAACACTTTACTGTTAACCCGGTGTAGATCTGCTCCATACAGATCTACTTCTCTTGCGAGTAGGTTTTTGCAAGTACAAATCTACTCATCTTCGCAAAAACCTAAATGGGTATGGTTGATTTCCCTAAAACCTAAACCCAATTTCTATAATCTTTCATTTATTCTTTCTCCTAAAATGGCTAATTCATTTTTCAAATTCTTTAGATACGACACGTTGGAAGAAGAGCATGTCCAAGAGAGTAGCGGCTTCCCTGGTGGTGGTAAGGTGGCTGAGACGGTAAAGATGGATGACAAAGGACCTTCTCTTTGCAAATGATATGATGGTTGTCAGCGAGATACATGGTGTTGGTGGTTATGTTTATATCTTCTTTTTTATTTTCACTGATGGTGTTCGATTTGTTTGTTGATGTTTGCAGGAGGCACCATCAAAGTTATTTTAAGAGGAACGTATACAGTGAAGGTGAAAGTATGGATTTGTTGATTTATGGTTGGAACAAGCATTAATAAGGCAAAAAAAATGCTGACAGTCTTGAATATCAAATGTAAATAATTGTTGAGTTAGAAAGCAAAACTCACCCCAACTAAGAATAGTCCGACAGCTGATGCTGCACACGTTCTATGTGAAATTCGACAACTGAGAAGATTATATTTTGTACTTATTTTAGATTGTTTTTATTTTATGTTGATTGGGAGAATTTGAGCTGAGAAAGATGAAATTGTTGTTGCATCCTCCAGGTATAGGTGTTAGTATAATTCAAGTATTGGGTCACATAATAAATTATTGTATTCACCTACAATTGTATTGTGCTATATTTAGTTTAGCCATTTTACTTCACCTGTATTAATGCAAATTTTTTCACCTAAAGAATGCATACGATAATATTTCAGTCCACTAAATTATGGGGGAAGCATATTCTTTTATAAATAAATGGAATTGGTTTAACAATTTTAGCTCACTATTCTAACACATACATTTTTAGCTGCAACATATTTATTATTTACCTCAGTTCTGAATTAAGTTGTTCATTTTGTAGCTTTTGGAAAGTAAAATACACGAGACAAGGTCAAAGAAGGATACTCTAAAAGCAAGAGCTCAATCTGCAAAGTTTGTCTTTCAAATCTTTTATCCATTGACTCCATCTTATTCCATTATGTATTATTTGATTCCGTTCGTAATGTATGTTGGTTGACGTTGTTAAATTGTAATCCAATGTGTCGAAACTATGTGTCGAAAAGATTTGATTTGTTTTAGATTTAAATAGATTTGATTTAAGTCTAGAATAAATTAGATTTAATTTAGTAACAAAAATGTATTTTGGGCTTTGGGCTTAGGGTGTAAGCTCAGTTATAAATAGAGGGAGTAACCCCTATTTTTGTAAGCAAGTCAAGCAAGTTGTATTCACAGAATTTGCAGTTGCAAGTGAATAACAAAGTTTTCACAGTTTGTGAGCAGAGAGAAACTCTGCAAAAATTATTTGTCTTGTCTTCTTTTATTTGTTTGTCTCATAATTAAATTATCATTGTGGTAGAAATTCATCATAGACTTTGGTAGATTTCCAACATCTAGTATCAAGAGCTTTTGTTTCGATTCAAGGGAAGTATCAATCAATAACGATTGAAGAATTCACGATGACAAGTTATGGGAATGCAAACTATCCAGCGCCGCTACCAATTCTGAAAGTTGACAACTATGAGAATTGGTGCAAACAGATGAAAGTCTTATTCAGGTGTCAAGGTCTTTGGGACCTTGTAAAAGATGGAGTCGAAGCGCTTGGAGAAAATGCTTCAGAAGAAGAAAAGAAGAAATACATAGAATCTGAGAAGCTGAGTTATAAAGCATTATTTATAATTCATCAATGTGTCAGCCCAGACAATTTCGAAAAGGTTAGTGATTTAGAATCTGCAAAAGAAGCTTGGGAAATCCTTGAGAAGTCTTTTGGAGGCGCTGAGAAAGTGAAAGAAGTGAGGTTACAAACTCACAAAAGGACCTATGAACTGCTTCAGATGGAAGACAGTGAAAGCATATCTGATTTCTTCACTAGAGTTACAAAACTAGTAAATCAAATCAAGATATATGGAGAAGCGTTAACAACAAGAGTTGTTGTGTCAGAGATCTTGAGATCTTTAGCTCCTAAGTTCGACCACATAGTGGTGGCGATAGAAGAGGGGAAAGACTTGTCGAAATTGACAAAGGAAGAGCTTCAAGGGACGCTTGAATCTCATGAACAAAGAATGAACGAAAGAGCTGCAGGAAAATCGAAGAGTGATGTGGCCTTGCAAGCACATTCAGCAAAAGAGACCAAAGGCAAAGGAAAGTGTTTTGACAGAGGTAGAGGTGGCTACAACAAATCAAATGGTAGAGGAAACCAGATTGAAGGAAACATGTCGAATCAAAGAAGACCATACCAAGGCAACCAAAGAGGTGGTGTTGCAAATAGAGGAAGAGGTGGTGGTCGAAAACCTGATAAGAGTCACATTCAATGTTACAATTGTCAGAAGTATGGACACTATGTGAGTGATTGTCCAGAAAAATGAAAGAATCAAGAAAGTGATGCAAAGCTTGCAAAACATGAAGAAGAAGAAGAGATGATGCTGATGGTCACAACAAGAGATGAAGATAGATTCAAGGACCAATGGTACTTGAATTCAGGATGTTCATCACATATGTCTGGAAGGAAAGACTGGTTCGTCAATATAAAACCCTCAATGAAAAATATGGTAAAATTTGAAAATGACAATACCCTAGCAGCTGAAGGTATTGGTGATGTTATGATTATGAGGAAAGATGACAAAAGGTAAGTAATTTCCAATGTATTGTACATACCAGGCATGAAGAGCAATTTGCTCAGTATAGGGCAGTTGGTCGAAAAGAATTATAAAGTGTCAATCGAAGATAAGATTATGAGAGTCGTTGATGCAAATGGGAGATTAATCTTGAAGGCTCTTATGTCTCAGAATCGAACCTTCAAGATTGAACTAAATGTGATGGAGCACAAGTGCCTTTCGACTGCAGCTAGCAGAGATGAATGGATATGGAATTATAGACTAGGTCATCTCAACTTCAGAGACATCAGAGATTTGAAGAGAAGAAATATGGTTTCAGGATTGCCAGAAATTGACATTCCAAACGAGGTATGTGAGGAATGTGTGCAGGCGAAGCAACACAAGAATAGCTTCAGCAAGGACGTAGGAAGCAGATCGAAGGCTAGTCTTGAAGTCATATACTCTGATGTATGTGGACCAATCCAGGTGGATTCGATGGGAGGTAACAAATACTTTGTTACATTCATAGATGATTTCAGTCGAAAGCTATGGACTTACTGTTGGCTGAAGATTTTGATAATATTATTTAGAAGCCAAATGAGTTAAACGTTTTGATCGAAATGGAATTAAACGTCATATTTCGAAGTAGCAGAAGCAGTGTTTCGAATAAGTGTGTCAAAGCTTGGAGCTTCGAACGGCAATTATGGGAACATATCTAAAGGAGTCTCGAAACAACAGCGAGGCTGTGTCTGGGAAGAGCGTTCGAAACAGAGAAACACCAAAACATTTAAAATTCAAATGGAAGCGGGACTTTCAAAGTTTGAAAGTTATGTGTTGGAGCATTTGGGGACACGTGGAAAGATGAAAGAAGCATTGTCCTGCATGTTCGAAACGTGGCATAATCCTATAGCAAGACCGTTATGGTCGAATTAGTATAAATAGAAGTCTTAGTATTAGGATTTCGTGTGTCATATCTATTATACAAAATACTCAATAACATTCAAACTACCACATGGCAAGGGAAACAAATGCAAGAGAAATGTATGTATGATAGCACCATGTATTTCTGATTTAATGAAAACCTTTTACCATTTCCAGTACTTTCCTTTATTCCTTTTGTCAAACAACATTTATGAGTTTTCTTATTTACAATCTTTTCACTTCGAAATCTCTTCTTCAAAGTTTTACATTTTAATGTTTTCTTTATATTTCAAGCACTTTATATTTCAGAAAACTGTCATATTTTCCATGCCTTTACTTTCAAATCTTATCCTTCGAACGCATATGTTTACTTAAAATCATTTACAGATTTCTTGCATTAAACGCTTTCTTCACATTTCAAACTTTTACGTTCCAGAAATCCTTTATATTAACTGTTTTGTAAGTCGAAGCCATTCACTTCATTTTTATGCAGTTTTATATGTCTTTACAATTAGCATTACAATTAGCATTTATTCGTGTAACTTAGTTTTCACACACATTTTGATTACATCTTTAGACTCTTAGAGAGAGAGAGATCGAAACAAGCCAAAAACGTATACAATATCAACCATGAATATCTGTTCGATTGTGAGAGTAACCTTAATATCCAAGGAGTCCTAGGATCAATCTAGTCGATCCTGTGAGTTACCAGAGGAATTGAATAACAGTAAGAAAGATTATTCGATAGTTTGGAAGACTAGCGGTTGTTTACCAGAAATCACTAGAAACAAATTGGCACACCTGATGGGACCAATAATTGGATATCAGAATTAAGGATTGTTGAGACATAACCATTACAAAAACGTTGGAACCTAAGAAGTTTGTTGTTTTATGAACCTGAGAAGTGGTAAGATAACCAACAGCAACCAACCTTTATCCAGAAGAAAACGTTTGAACAAAATGTCTAATTCAGACAATCAACAAGGGGACCAAAGTGGCCCACATACAACAGGCACTAACGCGTCCACTTCGATCGGAACATCTAATGTAATCCCTTCGAATGCACAGTCTGTTGCATCTTCGACCAGTAACATAGCCACCAATGGAGTAAGTGGCATATCAACTAATAGTTCGATCTTAGGAAATACTGGAACTATTGGCTACCCTGGCGGATTCGTTCCACCATCAGGGACACAATCCCATTTCGCCACCCCATTAACTAGACCACCCGGTTTCGATGGGAATAGAACCAGAAATTCCTCTTATGGAATGCCAACATCTTTTATGGCAGGTTTACACAATTCCACATCGAATTCATCTCCACAACTAGGGTCTGGGTCTGGGGCGAATCAGTTTATGACAAATAACCAAGGGTCGGTGGGTTATAGCACAATGCCTATCCTAACCACAGACAACCAGTTGGCTTTTAGGCAATTGATGGATGACAGTAACCATAATATGATAGGGGTGTTAGCACAAACCATGCAGGAGATATTTGCCCCAATAGTGCAAAATGTGACTGTGACAAACAGGGAAAACGCTGACAATATGAGTCGAATAGCAGATTTCTTCGCTCCCCTAGAAAGGCGTAGGCAGAATCAGGCGGGATTTCGAACAAACACGCCTGTTATA